TAGGAGAACCTTTTAGTGAGATAAAGCTTATCTCAGTAAATCATGGTAATCCTGCTGCTTCAAATAGCTAATATTTTTTTATTCAAATAGGACCCTTTATTCTTAGGGATGCAAATTCATCTCAGGTCACCACTTTGTTCCTGGAATTCCTTCTTCTGACAATTTAAGCAACAGAGTCTACAAAGCTTTGACCTAAAAAGTTCAGTATTTCCCCAGGACATTGTTAGAAGGGAAAAGTTGGATTTTATCTCGTGGTTATTATCCTGGTTGGGAAAAGGGGAAAGAATAGCAAACCAAGAGTGATAAAAAAGATTGTGCTTGATGAGCTTTTGACATGCTAGCACAAGTCACAGAGGGTCATTTTTCATTGCTTCTGTGATAATACGTATTACCAGGTAGTTTTTTCTTTTGTTAGTGGTTTAAAACAGGTCAATCTAAAACTCCCAGACAATCTAGTAAACCCAAACGTAACTGAGCATTGTGTTTGGTTGTGTTTATTTCCAAGGCTATGAGGTACTTGAGGGATTTATTACCTCCTTTTGCCTTTGTACATAGCCAACAATTCACAGAAGCCTGTAATATCCTCTGGATGATAGGGAGTACACTGATTGCAAGCATGAGAAGGGATGTCCCAAGTTGGGTTTCTTTTACTGGCATTTTTGGATTTGACGGCCTATAAAGACTGAATATGATTTGATTGATGCTGAATACACATTGGGGAATTCAGATGATTACATGATACCCAGACAGTGGGGTTTGGTACTTAGAGCAAGCAGGAGCATTTGTGTTCCCGGTGGTGAGTGATAATAAAGCTTCTATGGTATTGTGCATTATTTTTCAAAAGTAACTATGCTAATGGAATGGTATGAGCTTGCTAAAGGAATGACACGTTAATTCAATCTTGCTTTCAACTTTCTCCTGAAATGCTGTTAACTCCTGGTCTAGGTTAGATCAGCCCAACTTGCAGTCTTTTGCTTCACAGAGGGCAGAACCAAGATTTTTAAGTATTTTCTGTAGACTTAAAAGTTCTATGTTGCTTTCTACGTTTGTATCTAGGGCCTGGTCCTTTATTACCACAATACAACATGTATTAAGGGAGCTCAAATGCAGGAAATAGGTCAGAAATCCCTCTGTACCATCAGGGAAAGATTTAAAAAAGCCCTCCATAGGCCTCATTATTATGTCCTCTTAGCCAGCATCCTTCCTGTCATTGGGGTTCTTGATGCCTCAGGAGAGACTATGTGGAAATGGTACATTTTCTGGAGACTCTCCCTAGGCATGTTGTGAATTTCTGCTTTTCACTTACCCCAGTGTCCTTTGCCAGAAACTCTCTACCATCTCTGGGAATGGAAAGCAAGTACATGGAGTCATCTGAGCACTTTACATGGATCACCTGTACATGAATGTCCCCCTTTATCATTAGACTCTTAAGAGCTTTCTGAACCTAAGTCAGAAAGTGTTAGCTCCCATCAGTCCCACCCTTTTGATGTGGTTTGGACAGCCTGTGTCGGTGTCTACCTTACAAGCTCATTCAGAGGCCAACAGATAGCAAAGCATTCTGCAGCATATGAGCCACCTTGCAGCTGTTAGATGTGTGCATGTAGTGCTCTAGGTTATGCATGAAAACATCAGGAAAGCTGGACTGCTCATCCAGGCAACTGCAAATCTCTCAGAAAATGTAGTAGTTTAGAACTACTATAGGCATTTGGTCAAATATTGCATATAGCTCAAGTGGCTACCCATCCCTTACACTTGAAAGGCTACATAGGTGCTATGTAACCTTTTTGTGGAGTTGAGGGCTTTCTCTTGTAAGTTTTAAGAGCTGCTACTCTTCTTGTAATATCACAGTTCATAAACCCCAAATTGGCTTTGACATGCAGGCATTTTTCTCATTGAGAATGAAAATTCTTCATTAAAATATGTTGCTCATTAAAATGAGAGCTGCATTACAGTCAGGGAAAAAAGGTATTTTTAATGGCTATAATAAATAAGCAAGACCTGAAGCCACAAGTGTTAGATTGAGGTTTTTTGTCTGAACATAAAGTGTAGAGCCTCCTAATGTTAAGCCTTGCTGAAAACCTGACTTCTAGAGACAAATCTCCGTCCTGATTTCTGCCTTTTTCAACTCTAACCACAATGACCTTTGACATTTTGTTTGTTTAATTTAATCATCAAAACCTCTGTTCTTACTAATAAGCTACAAACTGGACAAAAGTGATGTCCTATTTTTTTTATTGCAGGTTATTTGATACTTATACAGCCTTGTATATAACCGTGTGAATATTAAAATTATTAACATAAAAGCTAAAGAGCTACCAATCCATGTTGTTTCTACCCTCACAACTAATCCATTAAAATGCATATTGAATTTGCCATTGACTCCTTTTAGAGTTGTCCTCTGGTCTGCAGGGGTCCCATCCTATGGCCTTGGGGAGATGGCAGTTCAGTTGCTTGTTCAAAACCTGTGGCAGAAGCCCAAGGCTGAGGTTTCACAGTGATCAGAATTGAGTGAGGTGGAAGAAACAGCGAGTAAGTTGAGAGTATGACCATGATAGATGGTATGTTGATTTCAGATTGGGTACATGAGTAAGAGTTGATGGTACCTCACCTAGCATTCATTTTGATACTTATGAAATAATGCAGATAGCCTGGAAGGGGAATGGGTTTCTTGGAGAAGGCTTTCCTCAGAATCAAGGGAGGGAACTTGACTGTGAGAGACAGAAGTGTTTTGTGAGGCATCAAAAACAATTCTTTCCAATTCAACTTCTGTTTTTGTGGAGCTAGGAACCGTTGGGAACGAAGAGTATCTCTTAGTGTTTCCTCTTTCTGAGCAATCCCAAAGGGCCTCTGGTTTGCAGAATATTCTGCTGCCAGGCATTAGGCTTGTGTTTTCACTTAAATCTCTTCACATTTAATATTGCCAAATAACCAAGGTGAAGATGAAAAGAGAAAGCAACAAAACAATATCTGAGCTAAAAAATTCAGGAAGATTTTTTTCTCTTTCATGATCTTCCTCCAAAGAGGTGTGAGTGAATTAATTAACTTTTGTGGAACTACTTGATGAGTACAGCATATCTACAAGTTTGGAATAAAACTTCTTTCCAAAGGTGGCTTCAAGAGTAGATGTTGGTTCTGTTTAGCTGCGAAGTTGTTGGGCTTTTTTTTTTTTAACACATGATGTCAAATCATTTGACTCATTGCACTAAAGCCAAATGAAAGACCACATTAATAAATATATTTTGAGTTATTATAAAGGTTACAGTGCTGTAAGATACTATGATAATTGAAATTTCTTTGCACATTTAAAAATAATGTTTAAGTTAAATATCATTGATTTAGCCTAGCAAACTGGTTATTTTCTCTGTCTTTTTATTTTAAAAAATATATTATACTGAATTAATGTAAGAGAATTTAATTTATATTTTCAGGATGTAAGGAAAGCCATTTCTACTTCTCACCCTTATTAAAATAGGTTTTATGTACCATGCATTCCATTTTAACCACAATTCAAAAAGGAATGTGCATGTTACTTATGACTTTCCTGCTATTCTTTGTTTCTATATTTTGCTCTTAGGTTTCCTCGGCACATTGTTAGACCCAACCCTAGCAAGAAGGTGATTGATATGGCTCTTTGTGCCCTGGCTAAATAGCTAAACATAGAGTGTATTGTGCTTGCGTTCAGGGAAAAAATGAAATGCAATTAAATTCATTTCAACTTCAGTAACATGACATTTCTGTTTCTTTCATGTCAGGCTTTATTCTTTTCTATAATCAGATTTCGTAACCCTTTTTATTATGTCTCTTCACTTCAGTAATCACTAAATAGGATGCTTGTGTTGCAAGTTAATTAGAAATTTTTGTGTGCCTGGGTTGACTTTTCCCAAATCCTTGGTGTAGTTTCCACATCTTATGAGACAGCATGTTTCACTCTCCACTGAGCTGTGAGACACGAGTTCCATATCCACACTTGAATCCTCCATGTTTATAGGTTTGCAAGGGATTTTTGTGTTCCCTTTTGGAAACTGAAGTATTTCTTAAAATATTTCAGGCAAGAGGAAGGGTCTGTATCTTAGGATAGGTTTTTCATAACTGCAAAGAAAACTTCTGGGAGTTTATTCACCCTTTGTATTGACAAAATCCTTGACGGTTAACACAGTCTTTCACAGCAAGTGCCAGTAAGAATGCAGGACCATGATGCATGCGGGAGGTGAAAAGGGGAAGACAAAAGATCTTCATCATCCAGCTCTTTGTTCATAGTTGTAAATTAGAAAACACACAATAGTAATGCTTAGTTTTAGGGGTAAGCATTTGTAGAGTTCAGTGAAGGATGCAAAGAAACATGAAGAGTGAGTTAAGTTCTTATGTAAATTTACCTTAAAGACTATTACAAGTAGGTTTCAAAAGTCGTCTTTAGGTTTAGTGAGAGTTATTATTTCCTAATGAAAAACACATAAGAAACTCCCATTAAAATAAACTTTGAAGGGAAAAACCTTTCATATTTGCAGATTTCCTTGGGTACACAGGCATTATTGTTATGCTATTAATTTCTTCTTTGTTTTAGCTTCAGTGTCCCATCCCCCAGCCTAATTTCCCCATCCCTATCCACCCTGTACTGTTGTTTCCTATAATTAGTGAAGATACACATCTGTCTTCAGGCTACCACCTAATCTCTAAGGCCATATGGGTAAATGGAATATAATTATAATTTGGTAGACACCGAGCCTTCTGTGCATGGTTGTATTGCTCTTGTTCCTTTTTAAGCAGGCAAATTGAATCTATGATACAGTAGGGCTTGGAGGCTGGATTTAGTACTTGCAAAATAAATATTTTTCAGATGAGAATTTCATTGTGTTAAATTTGGGTGGGAATTACGCCAGTTTGGGAGGAATTCTGACAAAATGTTACTGCAATATGCAAGCACCCTGCATATAGTGAAGAAATCACCTGTGGTTATATGCAAAATATTAACAGAGGTCATTTTTTGTCCCCCTCTTTTTCAGTTATTTTTATTTCAGTTGCTGCGAGGACTGTCTTACATCCACCAGCGTTACATTTTGCACAGGGACCTGAAACCACAGAATCTTCTGATCAGTGACACGGGGGAGTTAAAGCTGGCAGACTTTGGTAGGCAAGCAGTTAATTACAAGTCTCTTATAATGTTGTAGGAATGTCAGACAGATGGTTCCATTGATTTCTCTTCCCCCCACCCTATTCCTTAGACACACCTTCTTCATTGTAGATAATTGCACATTTTTCTCCTGAGTGAAGAAATTGATTATGGTCAACAAAATGCTTGATTAAAAGGAAGCAAGTGAAAAACAAATACATACTCCAGTTCTCTCAAGGAAGAAAATGCTGAAAGTATTTGCATTTTATTTACCATGAGACCTCTGAATTAGATTTGAAAACCTTTAAAAGAAAAGAAAAAAATTAGAGAGAGACCTGAGGAAATACAGGCTATATGAAGGGCACAATCACTTTATGGAAGCAGCTCTAGGGTTGTGGGGATCTGTATTAACTTTCATTAAATGTTGTTGAAAGCGACTGAAGGACACAAGAGTAAGTGTTCATTCTAAAGAATAAAGTACATAGGATCACTTGGACTGCTTTCAGTATCCATTAGTCTGTCATGGGGAAGCCTTATGCGGAGTTTAAAGTCAGGATGAAATGTTAGCCTTTTGCCTATTTTTAATTTTTTAAGCCATTTTCTAGTGGCTACACCAGGGCAAGTACTCTTTCCTCTGAAAACCATTGTGAATGCAGATGTGGAAAATGGCAATATTTTTCTTTAGTGGTTTTTACAAAACATTGTAGGAACTTCTTTCCTGTAGGTCAGCTTCTCAGTTACTGATTCCAGCAGAGCTTCTGAAGTAAGATGAAAATGTGACCTATTGGCTTTTTTAAAATGTCTTTTATTTTTATGACTGCTATCCGCATCACGCTTCACATTTCATGCAGCACCAGTAACGAGGAAACCTTACGTGCTAATTGCCAGTTTCACTGTTAATGTAGTAATGGTTTTTTGTCTTTTAATTAGCATTACTGCAATTAACAGCTCAGTGTTTATTTGCGATGCTGAAGAAGGGAATAGGACTTCAAGTGGACGCAGTCCACAAGAACTCGATTGGCCTTCGGATTGCAAGGCAGTTAGAGAAATAGTATTAGAAGCAATTATTATCTGGTTTTACACACCATTTTCTGCTGCTATTTTTCAAAACTTGCTGTTTTTTAAAATATATGCTTTAAAACCCCATTCCTGCATGTTGCATTTTACTGTGAGCTTTCATCTCTTAAGTACATGAAACAGGTGAATCAATAAGTGTTCCTTGTAGTGAAATATGAGATAGTCCTCTGTTAAAGGTGCTGTGCTGTTTGACAGTTAGAGTTTCATTATATCATTTATATGTATAAAACACTATGAACTAATGTGATTACAACCATCCCCATATTATAAATCTTTCAGGAGATTGTAATAATGGTTCTCTGGCTTTTGTGGATGCTGAAAACCATGTGAAAGATCTCACAAACTCTTTTGTATGTAAAATGTTTCCTATGGTGTGGGGGTGGGTTGCTGAAGCTCTGGCTTGTGTGGCTGGAGAGAGGAAGGCTGCGCACTTTTCAGCTGTTAAATTAAAAAGAAAACAACCCATCTTTCACCAACACTATTAAATGCATTGCTGGAGGTGTGAACTGATCAATGAAATGTCCAAATCAGACATGAGTTGACCTGCCTCTTGTATTGCCTGATGTTGCCATAGAGCAGAGGAAAGGATGGGACTCTTGTTTGTGCCCTGTTGTAGTAGGAAATGTAACTATCAGTTCTGATAAATTATTGCCTCATTGTGGCACCAGGGTAAATATCCCAGTAAGGACATCAAAGGCAGGCTTTTCACAGCTTCATCTTGGTAAGAGTTTAAGGTTGCCGTTATGAATTATTTTGATAGACTAGAAATGTGTGAGTACAACCAAAATGAAGTACACAGTTGTAGACACGTGAATGTGTAATATTGTGCAAAGGATACTTTTTCTCTTGTAAGTTTGTTTTGACCTAACAGAAACATCTGCATAATCTACTCTTATACACAGAGAGAAGACTATATATCACGTGGTTTTTTTAAAGCTAGATTTTCTTTCATGGCTCATGACCTCATAAAATTGAAAACCAGATGGGTTAGACTTCTCTTCTGAGAACCAAGATGAAAAATTAGAAGTGATGAGGGTAAAGTCTGAAAGGTCATGACCTCTTTCACTGGAAACATGAGAAATGAGAGCACACCCGTGTGCTGTCTGTGTGCCTCCCTGTGCATATTTACTTATTGAAACGCTGTATTATTATAGCTCGTCTTCCACGTTCCCATTATGAAAGACTTTCCTTAAACAAGATGTAAAATACAATCCTGTTTCTCTTTATGTTTTTCTGCCACAAATGACTAATTTGCAATAATGTGCTTGGAAAGGAAGTCGGCTTATATTGTGTATTTGATTAATTACATGAGGAGCAGTATGGAAATTAGAAAGATGGTTGCTTTTCTTTCAAATGCACTCAAGGCAGGAGAAAACCTATCAAGAAATCAGTTTCTGACAGAGATAGGATTGACTTTGCTAGCACAATAAATATAAAATCCTAGAGCAAAGGCCTTTTAGTCTCTAAGGACAAGACCTTCAGATTTTGGTTTCATAAGTTTACAAAAAAATCAACATCATGTCTGAAGTTTTTCATTTGGCGTCAGGCTTATTTAATCTCTTCACTGTAGGATATCAAATACTTAAAAGCAGGCTGTGGTGGATCATAGTTCTTGAATAAACAAGGTAAAAGAAAGGCTATTCATGTCTGCCAGTGCATTGCGCTGTGGCTGAAGTGGAATCTTTGAATAACTGTGGGCATGTGTTTTTCTGTAGCAGGGCTCCCAGACATAGATACTCCACTGTGTGGGAGTGCCTTTGTTCAGACGAACAGCAGTTTGCTTTTCTGTTCATTGTGCTCTAGCTGCTAGGAAATGAACATTTATGAGAAGTCTCAGCGGTCAAATGAAAAGAGAGAACAGAATACAGAGGCTTTATCAAATTAAAAATGGATGAGCTATAAAAAATGACTTTCTTGAGAAGATATAATAGGGGAGACTACATCTTGAATAATTGTTGCTATGAAAAATAGTCCTTGAAGGCCATACCTGCATTCTTTTTTTCAATCTAGTTAAAATTCCAGAGGAAATTAAAGTATATGAGGAATTCTCCTGGTGAAATGAAGTGTAAGAATTATTTTTGATCCTATGGTGTGAATTTAGCTGTCTACTGGTTTATTTTCCCCCACACATATGTCTGTCTTAAGTAGAAATAAAGTATGTTAAACCTTTAATGAGTAACGCCATAAGCAATTTGCCTCAGTCTTCAACAGGAAGACCAGTTATCCTCAGGTTCACCATCCCCCTGAGCTGGTAGATAAGGACAGGGAACAGAATAGATCCCCTGCAGTCCAGGAGGAAGTAGTCAGAGACCTTCTGTGCCGCTTAGACACTCACAGTCTGTGGGTCCAGATGATATTCACACAAGGTTGCTGACGGAGCTGGCAGAAGAGCCCATCAAGCCACTCTCCATCATTTATCATCAGTCCTGGTTAACTGGGAAGGTCCTAGGTGACAGGAGGTTGGATGGTGTGATACCCATCTACAAGAAGGGTTGAAAGGAGGATCGAGGGAACTACTGGCCTGTCAGTCTGACCTTGGTTCCAGGGAAAGTTATGGAACAGAGTATCTTGAGTGCGATCACCTGGCATGTCCAGGACAACCAGGGGATCAGGCCTAACCGGCGTGGGTTTAGGAAAGGCAGGTCCTGCTTGACCAATCTGATGTCCTTTTATGACCAGGTGACCCACCTGGTGGATGAGGGAAGGCTGTAGGTGTGTGTACCTGGACTTCAATAAAGCCTTTGATACTGCTTCCCACAGAATTTTCCTGGAGAAGCTGGCAGCCCATGGCTTGGACAGGTGCACTCTTTGCTGGGTTATAAACTGTCTTGATGTCTGTGCCAAGAGAATGCTGATGAATGGAGTTATGCCCAATTGGTGTTCAGTCACTAGTGGGGTTTCCCAAGGCTCATTATTGGGGCCAGTCCTGATCTGGTGGAAGCTAGGAAGGCTCTGCAGAGGGATCTGGACAGGCTGTATTGATGGGCTGAGGCCAACTTTATGATGTTCAAGAAGACCAAATGCCCAGTCCTGCACTCGGGTCACAACAACCCCATACAGCGCTACAGGCTTGGGAATGAGTGGCTGGAATGCAGCCCAGTGGAAAAGGCCTTGGGGGTGCTGGTCAACAGCCAGCTAAACATGAATCAGCAATGTGCCCAGGTGGTCAAAAAGGCTAATACCATCCTGGCCAGCAGGACTAGGACAATGATTGTCCCTCCATACTCAGCACTGGTGAGGCCGCGCCTTGAGAACTGTATCCAGTTTTTGGCCCCTCACTCCAAGAAAGACATTGAGGTACTGGAGCATATCCAGAGAAGGGGGACAAAGCTGGTGAAGGGTCTAGAAAGTCATGTGAGGAGCAGCTGAGGGGACTGGGGTTGTTTCGCTTGGAGGCTGAAGGGGGACCTTATTGCTCTCTACAGCTACCTGAAAGGAAGTTGTAACCAGGTGGAGGTCATTCTCTTCTTCCAGGCAGCTAACAACAGGACAAGAGGAAATGGTCTCAGTCTGCACCAGGGAAAGTTCAAGTTGGACATTAGGAAGAATTTCTTCACTGAAAGGGTAGTTAAGCACTGGAACGGGCTGTCGAGGGAAGTGGTGGAGTCACCATCCCTGGAAGTGTTCAAGAAATGACTGGACGTGGCATTTAGTGCTGGGGTTTAGTTGGCAAGAGAGACTCTGATAAGGCTGAAGTGCTCTGTCCCTTCCTTGTCTTGGTCTTCACAAATAAGATCTCATGGGCCTTTGTTCTCAGAGATGTGATTCAGGGAGGAAAGGGAGAGTGGAAAATAACTGAATTGGGGATTTCTGAGAACTCTTGACCTGTGTGAGTTCATTGAATTATAAAATCTCCTGAGTTGGAGGGGACCCACAAGTATCACAGAGTCCAACTCCTGGCCCTGCAGAGGACAAACCCAGGAATCACACCATGTGCCTG